TTTCGTCGTGTGTCCGTGTTTTTGCGTTATTCGTGGGCGTTGTCGACGCCGTCGTCGTGGGAGTTGGTTGCTGTTGGGGGCGTCGTCGTGGGTGGCGTTGGTGTCGACGTGGTGGTTTTGGTAGGCGGCGTGGTGCCGTCGTGTGTCGTGTGGGCGGTGCGTGTTTTTCGGTGGGCGGCGCGTGTTTTTCGGTGGGCGCTCGTGTTTTTCGGTGGGTGGTGGGATGTTTTCGTGGGCGGGGTATGGTTTTTGTGGGCGCTGGCGGTGTACATGGGCGGTGGGCGTCGTTTTGTGCCCGTCGGGTGTTGTTTTGTGTCCAGGGGCGTTGTTTTCGTGGGTGTTGGGTGTTTTCGTGGGTTACGGCGCTCGTTGTTTCGTGACGTGGCGTCGCTGCATTGTTGTTGAAGGGTGTCGTGGTCGATGTTGGTGGTTGTGGTGGCCATGGGTGATCGAGGAGCGACGTTGGCGGTGGTGGCTATGGGTGACGGTGATGGCGTGGCGTTGGCGGCGGTGACAAGCATGGTGGTGGTGGTGGAAGAAGAGGGTGGCCATGTTTGGTGAGCATGTTCACCAAACAAACATTGTTTGTGATCCATTGAAAATAAATAAACTATAATACAGTAACAAATAAATAAAATAAACAGATTGGACTGGAATCCCATTCCTGCCCACTCCGGGGAACACCATTCCTGCCCATTCCGGGGAAGACCATTCCGGGGAACATTCCGGTGTACATTCCGGAATCCACCGGAATTCCACTGGAATGGAAAACACCGGAATAAACAATTTAGCAGGGCCTTCTGCTAAATTCCATTCCACCGGAATCCACCGGAATTCCACCGGAATGACCGGATTCCTGCAGGAATAGGGGGGGCACTGCTAAGACCTCGTGAAACTGGAAAAAAGAAATATGTGAATTTCAAAAGAGTTGTCTGGCATAAGGCATTCTATGAAATCTTGAAGTCTGTTGAGCAATATGCAGAAACTGGCTACCACCTAACAACTGCTGATATTGAACGGTGGATGTTTCCCATTGTGCTTATTGCATCTGCAGACTATGAGGAGCAGTAAGTATTGACATCTGCAATTTACATTGAACTTCACAATTTTCTGTGCAGATGTGTTATTGCCCTCATTCATGGGGTCAACAGCAAATTTCCCTGCCCAGTCTGCCTCATTCCTGGGGATCAGCTTGCCAACCTTTCATCAGACTTTCCCCTTCGTTTTTCCTCTGACATGGAAAAGATTTACAAGTCCACAATAGGACTTAATGCCTCTGAGACAGAAGAAACCTTGAAGAATGTTGGTCTTCGGGATGTTGAGGTAACATTCAAATGGGTTGATTCATATATTTCACTGATGACTTACTTCCAAAGAATGTTTTTTGGAAATTTCCTCACACTGATATTCACCGAGCAATTTCTTGGGAT